CCATTGTGATCCAGCACCTTGATACTCACAAAGAGTTGCTGAGATCCAGAATCTATGACAAAGTTGCACTTTTGGCCATCCAGCTTTCCTGTCACGTAGACACTTGGAATTTTACACCTAGCTGTTGGGACTTTCACAATGGGGTTGGTGGGCGTCCTTCAACACCAACCACTACTGGTTTCCCTGAGGCTGACTTATTGATTGTATTCTTTCTACACTGGCTCCTCATATGTCCTTGCTCTCCACAGTTCCAACAACCTTTTTAGGTTGCAGCCTTTCCTGCCGTGACATCTTCCCTGTGTTGAAGTTTCCAGCATTGAACTCTCTTGTGCCCAGCTTTGTTACAGTGCCAGCAAAGAGCCTCAAACCTCTCTGAAAGCTGCCCTTTTCTGGCCTTGAATCCTGATCACTGTACCAACCTTGGTACCTCTGTGCTGGACTTAACATATGATTCGAATTCAAGAGCTCTGGCCATTGCATCCTGCATAGTAGAGGGGTGTGTTTGCTTTACTTGTATCCAGGGCATCTACAAACTGATCTCTCAGCAACAACTTGAGGACAATGGGTAGTGCAGTTGTGTAGGTCTTGTGTGCCATATTTTACAAGTCCTGTGCGAGCTCTTGCAGGCTCTCCCCTCTAGCACGGACTCTCGTCCTAAACCTAGCCCTGTAGACTTCAGACTGATTTTGAGTTCCATACCTGAGATCTAGAGCACCTACCAGTGTTATATAGTTGAGCCTATCATCTGCTGACAACTGTCCAAGTATTTCCAGTGGTTGTCCCTTCAGGCTCGTTGCCAGATATACTGCTTTCTGTTCCTCTGTCCATCCATCATTTCTGCCAGGAGCTCAAATTGTGCTCTATAGGCTTCCCAGGGTGCTTCCTTCGTACTAGATCACTCTTATTACTGACATTCATAGCTGGGATGTGACTTCTGGCAGGACTGAAGATGTCAGCATTAGGGTTTAGCTGCGGGGTCTGGAAGGGGCTTTTTGTTGTCTGGGGCTGATTAGTTCCATGATTAATATATCCTCCCTGTGTAAAAGACAGTAACACAAAGTGTATCTAATTCACTTTGAAATTTATTAATGTTTTGCATTTGTACTTCTTGCCACTGTTGTTGACTTTCCTGTAGTTGCTGCTGACTTTCTCGCAACTGTTGGAGACTTTCTTCCTGTTTCCTTTCTTGTTCCAGTTGCCACTGCTGTTGTCTCTTTTCTTGTTTATTTTCTTTCTCCTCCA